AGAGGAGGGACAGTGGTTTGGACATGTCCAGAGGAGGGACAGTGGTTAGGACGTGTCCAGAGGAGGGACAGTGGTTAGGACGTGTCCAGAGGAGGGACAGTGGTTTGGACATGTCCAGAGGAGGGACAGTGGGTATATTGGTAGAAGGATGTTAGAAATGCAGCTGCAGGAAAAAGACAAAGAGGAGACATCTGGATGCAGTTAGAGAGGACATGGAGGTAGATGGAGAGAGGACAGAGGACAGAGTGAGATGAAGGAGGATGACTCGCTGTGGAGACCCCTGAAAAGTCGAAAGAAGAGGAAGAAGAAGATTAACGGAGACCTTAAGTAGCTAGTAAAGCTGTACATATACTTTTACTATTGAATATCTGAAGGAGAACTCAGTTTAGGATCTCTAAGCAGAGTTGCCAAGTCAGGTTCATAAAAATGTCTAAAAATGTTAACGCTGGGGAAATGCACCAGTAAGTTCAGTCAATAGTCATTTATTTTATTTGGAAACATTTAATCTGAAAATATATATTAAAATTATATTAACATAAAGATATAAAAAAGCTCATAGAAATCTTTCATCATGATTCTCTTGTATTTGTTTGTTCATTACAGCACACCCACTCAGAATTGTTTTGTTTGGAAAAAGTGACGAAAAGAAGTCAGCCCTGGGAAACATCATCATGGAGAAAAAAGAATACAACCTTCCAAACATTTTTCAAAGTTCCCGGTACAGCTCAAACAAACAGTGTGTCTCTGCCAGAGGAGAGTGGAACCAGAAACCAGTAATCGTGATAAAAACTCCAGACTTGTCCAGTCTGCCATTGGAAACGGTGAGACGAGAGATGAAGCACTGTGTGGATTTTTGTTCTCCTGGACCAAATGTTCTGCTGCTGTTGGTGAAACCTGATGAATTCACTGAAGATGACAGAAAAACACTGACGTTCCTCCTCACTTTGTTTGGTCCAGATGCCTTCAAACATTCGATGGTCATCATGACACACGATGAGAGGAAAGAGAATCTCTCTGTAGATCATCTCAAACAAGACTGTAGACAAATACATCACAGAGTGAGTTTTGATAAAAAGGAAATTCCTTCCAATGAACGACAAGAATTAATGCAAAAATGTGAAGAAATTGTTTGTAAGAACATGGGATCATATCTAATGTTTAATGAAGGAAATGATTCTGTGAGGGTTAACTATCCCAAACATGTTCTGAACATGGTTCTGTTTGGTAGAAGAGGAGCTGGAAAGACAACAGTTGTCAACGCCATTCTAGGAAACAGCAGGTATGGTCCTCAGCCTAACTCATCAAAGTGTGTTCAACATCAGGGGGAGGTGTGTGGACGTTTGGTTTCTGTGCTGGAGCTGCCTCCTCTGTACGAGAAACCACACGAGGAAGTGATGGAGGAATCACTCAGGTGCGTCTCCCTCTGTGATCCTGAGGGGGTCCATGCCTTCATCCTGGTCCTACCTGTGGGTCCCCTCACTGATGAAGACAAGGGAGAGTTACAGATCATCCAGGACACGTTCAGCTCTCGAGTCCAAGACTTCACCATGATTCTGTTCACTGTGGACTCAGACCCTGCAGCTCCAGCTGTCGTTAACTTTGTACAGAAGAACAAGGACCTCCAGGAGCTCTGTCAGAGCTGTGGAGGAAGATATTTTGTTCTCAACATCAAGGACAAGAAGCAGATCCCAGAACTGTTGGAGACCGTGGAAAATGCGATCCTTCACAAAAAGGAACAACGTTACTTCTCTGTAGACACGTTTGTGCAGGCCCAAATAAAAAAGAACATTGAACACGAATATCACATCACCAAACTAAATGCTGAAATGAAGAAACTAAAAAAAACTCAGATGGAGACCAGTAAGTACTTATTAGAAAATACCACATTTGACTTTTGACCCGATGCTGTAAAGTTAAACATTTTTATCTAATCGGTGTTTTTGTTCATGTTTTAGGTGAAGAAGTGAAGAAGAAGTCGGATTGTTTGAGGATTGTGCTGCTTGGAAAGACGGGCTGTGGAAAGAGCTCTTCGGGAAACACAATTATGGGGAATAAACTTTTTAAAGCAGAATCAAATCCCAAATCTGTTACCAAACTTTGTCAGAAAGAACATTGTAAAGTTGGCGGTCGTGCAGTTGTTGTTGTTGATACTCCTGGTCTGTTTGACAGCAGTTTGTCCAACGAGGAGGTGAATGAGGAGACGATAAAATGCGTTAACCTTCTGGCTCCTGGACCACATGTCTTCCTGTTGGTGATACAGATTGGAAGATTCACACCTGAAGAGAAGGAGACTTTGAATCTTATCAAAAAAGGTTTTGGGAAAAATTCAGGAAAGTTCACCATCGTTCTTTTTACAAATGGAGACACGCTGGAGTTTGAAAACAAGTCTATTAAAGAGTTTATTGCAAATGATCCCGATACATTTGGGAAGCTGATCTCTGACTGTGGAGGGAGGTACCACGTGTTTAACAACCGCGATGTGAACAACTGCGCACAAGTCAGTGAACTTATAAAAAAGATCGACAACATGGTGAAGGAGAATGGAGGAAGCTTCTACACCGATGAAATGCTAGAAGAAGCTGAAGCAGCAATTCAGAAAAAAATGAAGAAAATCCTGCAGGAGAATGAAGAAAAGATGAAGAGAGAAAAAGAAGACCTTAAAAGAAAGCATGATGAAAAAATTGAAGAAATGAAAAGAAAAATGGAAGAAGAGAAAGAAAAACTCAAACAAGAAGCTAACAAGAAACTAATGGACATGAAGGAAAAAATAGATAAAGAGCATGAGCAGAGAAAGAAAGAAAAGCAAGAAAGAGAAAGAGAGAACAGGATAAAAGAAGGTAAAGAAGAATGTCAACGCCAGAATATGAAAAGGCAACTTGAAAGGTTAGAGAAACAAATTCAGTCCGAAAAGGAGGAGAAGAAAAACATCACCAAAGAGCTGGAAACGTTAAGAGAGGAGAAGAGAAAATATGAGACCTGGGAAAAAGAATGCAAAGAAGCGTGGGAGATCCAAAAACAGGAAGAGGAAAAGAGAAGACAGGATGAGCAGAGAAATCTGAGAGAACTTGAAGAACAGTACAAGAAAGAAAGAGAAAGATATGAGGAAGAACGTAAGAAAGAGGATCAGAGCAGAAGAGAACAGGAAGAAAAGGAACAGAAGAAATTAGAGGAAGAAATAAAGAATCTGCATCAGAAATATGAAGAGAAAGCTAGAGAGGAAGCTGAAAAATCAAACGAGTTCCAAGAGAAATGCAAAAAAGAGTTTGATGACCAGAAGAAAACACTCGAGAAACAAATAAGTGACAAAGAAGAAAAGTATGACCTGCTGAAGGCTCTAGCAGCACACAAAGAGAAACAAAAGAGGGATGAGCACCGGGCAGCGATCAACGACTTGGTGAAGTGTGTGTCCAAGAAGAGCGACAACGTGAAAAAATTCAAAGATTTACTGACGAAGCACGAGGAAGAAATGAAACTAGAGACAAATAAAGCAGAACAAGAAAAGCTGCAGACAAAACATGAAACTGAGACGACTAACTTGATAGAGACACTTCTCAGTGAAGCTCAGACGCCGTCTCGTTGTTGCATTTTATAAACGCAACTGTTTCTTGTGCTTTGGCAGATTACTAAAAAAGATCTGCACATTTCTCACATAATGTTCAAACATACTTTATGTACTAACTGTGGGTGGGATCCATTGTTGTGAAAAGACGAGATGCTCTGCGATCACCGACCAATCGTTAAACGAGACATTTCTCAATAATTTGTTGATTTGAGGCGTCGCCGAGTTAACCAACAATATGATGCTCTGCAAAACTACTGAAGCGAACAAATATATTACAGTACAAAGTATATCCTGTGGGTGCATCACTGAGAAGTGAAGCACGGAACGAATAACCAGAAGAAAATAAATACTGTCCTGATGTACAGAAGAGCAGGAGAAAGAAAATGTCTTCTTACATATTCAGAGCTTGTTGTGACTTTTTGTTTAAATCTTTAGATCAATAGCTGCAACACATTTTTGAGTGTGACTGAGCTACTTTTTAAGATGTGTATCGTTGGAAAAACAGTTGATCAAATATGTTGCATGTCTGCCTCCACAATTTATCCAAATTATTATACAAAAATCTGAATATAAATAATATTCCTTAAAATGCAGACATCAGCAAAGATATTATAGAAATGATAATTGACACTTTATCTGAACATAAATTTATTATTCATAAGTTATGAAATATTTTGTGAAAAAACATGCAATAATCACACGTTTTAGTTTTACTACAATATAAGTTGAAGGTGAAATTATGTCTGTAAAGGTTTGATGGAGCAGCTCAATGATTTTGTAAATTTGATAAAAGGTACAATCGTTTTATGTGAATAGAACGTGTGTGTGATGTAAGGTTGTTTCAAGGCACATGTTCAGTTAAACAGTAACTTCACTTTGGGGTTTCAAGTGTGTACATGACAATTTAATAAATAAAATGAATCAAACTTTTGTAGTTAAACGTGCTTTCTTTTTGCTGTTTATAAATAAGGAAATAAAAAGTATTTTTTTTGTTGAATCGTGAGTTTTTCATTATGTCGTTTATCTTGAACCTGTCGTGGTTATTTGAGATGCAGTTTTGTTTTTTTAAACAGCAGAACCTTCACGTTCACTTTAATCACCTCAGCACAACAACACACAATACACTTCAGCGCATGAGAAATCTTTAGGAGAATTAAATACTTTTATTTTAAACAAACAAAATATTTTGTTAATGCAAATGAAGAAATCAGAATCTTTATTTCAGGGTTTTCTCTTTTAAAATACAAGTTGTATTATCCATCCATCCATTATCTTTTACCCGCTTCTTCCATTTTGGGTCACGGGGGTCGCTGGTGTCCATGTCCAGCAGTCTCTGGACGAGGGGCGGGGGACACCTGGACAGGTCTCCAGTCCATCATAGGGACACAAAAGGGACAATTTAGAGTCACCAATCAGCCTAACATGCATGATTTGGTCTATGGGAGGAAACTGGAGCACCTGGAGAAAACACACATGCGTGGAGAGAACATGCAAACTCCACCCAGAAGGCCCCTGGGCCGGGGTTTGAACCGAGGACCTGCTCGCTGAGAGGCAGCAGCTCTACCAGCTGTGTCACCGTGCTGCCCACAAGTTGTATTACTTTATTAAAATAAAATACTTTGTAATTTTAAATACTCCTTTTTCAAATTAAATATATTTTATATATTTAAGAAATTATTGGTCTTTTCTAAAATAAGTTGCAGTCCTTCTTTTATCTTTATATGTTTTGTATTATTATTGTTTAAAAGTCGAGGACTGGAGGATGTTTCCAGCTGCAGATGATCTCGTCCTGAAATGAATCAGAACTTTTGGCCGATCCGTTTTTATTTTTGTTGTCAGCTTTCAGCTTTGAACAACATTTATTTTCTGATTTAGGACACAGATCCACACAGATCCACACAGATCCACACAGACCCACACAGATCCACACAGATCCACACAGACCCACACAGATCCACACAGA